CTCCTAAAAGTCAGCATACTTTTAAATTTTAAATATGGTATGGACAGCACTTCTTGCGTCTGTACACTACCAAGATTATTGCTGAAGTACGTCTTGTACCTTCCTTAACGTTTAAAATTACGACGCAGAGTTACAGTTGAAAAGACGGAAAAACGTCTGCCCAAAACCTCAGTAGTGGCAAAGGGATTTATCAATTTGAAATGCCTCCCTCGTCTTGGTCCTTACTAATAACCGATTTATCTATTAAATAATATTAAAAAATGGAATCAATTAGGTATCTATTAACACTCCACTTTTATAACATCATTATTTAAAAGTGCCGTTTATGACATTGAGCCTGATTCACAAATTCGGTGTTCTTTGTTTCAGAAGTTCCCTATAAAATCATTTCTAAATCAAAAGATTTTTGTTTGGCAAGTAATTGGCATTCGTAGTCTCGACTGGACGCTCCCAGGGGGCCTGAGCTGGCGCATTCTGACGACTGAACTAAGTAGAAAGATAGAACAGAATTAAGCGGGCCAATTATCCCGTATTGGATTTATTGGTAATCTCTGCACGAATGGGCGCGAGGGTGCGAAGCGAACTTTTGATGATGCCTACATCGGTATTATGAACAAAGTTCCAATTTTTATACTGTTCTTATTGTTCGATGTTTCTTTGCTTTGAGTGTACGAAGCTGATAAGAAAATGAAGATTAACAAGTACTGGGAAACACTGTATTTGAGTAGCGTTAGTATCTGTTTTCATCTTAGTGTTTGCTATATAATGCCAATTTTTATTATATTAATTATTTAAAATTATTGTATTTTTATTTGCAACATTGTTTTACAAGAATCGTTTAAACCTCGTTTAGTCGTCATATCGTTCATATTTAATGTCTTGTAAAGGGAATTTACTAATATTTTACGACCTAGAGATACATAGAGATATTCTACCAACGTAGAATAAGTGGTTATTATAGTAATAATACGAGGCATGCCTTTTAAGTTCTGTCGTTTCCATATTTCCCGGCAATTTTGAATTTGGAACTGTTCTATATTCGAAAGTGTTTAAATTTTGAATCTTAAAACAGTTGAAAGTATTAGGATTAATGCTATTGTTTAGTCACAGCGTCGATTGGAATCTGTCAGGTTACGTACGAAAATGAATCTTTCTAAGGAAAATGTTCGTGCAATAATTTTCTACAACTTTAGAAGAGGCCTGACACGGCTTCAGTGTTTTGAAGAGCTGTGTTCAGTGATGAAGCCCCATGTCTGCGGACTGTCGAACGCTGGTATTTAGGATTCCAGCGTGGACATACTAGTGCTAGTGACAAATCTCGCGAAGGACGCCCAAAATCCGCCTTCACTGAAGAAAACATCATTGCTGTGAGACAACTAATTCTCGAAGATCGTCATGTGACGTATCAAGAGATAGAGGCTCTATTAGGCATCTCAGGGACAACCATTCAGAAGATCTTGCATGAAGCGCTTGGTGTGAGAAAGCTAGTTTGCCGTTGGATACCGCATCTGCTTTCCGACGATCACAAGGCGGCCCGCGTCAGATGGTGTAAGAAAACTCAGCAAAGATTCAACCGAGGAGAGTCAAATCACGTCTACGACATCATCAGTGGTGATGAATCTTGCATCTATGCCTACGATCCTGATTCCCAACAACAATCTACAATCTGGGTCTTTCAAGACGAGCCAAAGCCGACTAAAGTCGTTCGTTCTCGAAGCACTTCAAAGAAGATGTGCCAGTCCGTTGGAAAAACCAGCCATGTTGGACTATTGCACTTGAAGATTGTAGAACGGTTAACGCAGAGAGGTATAGCACAGTTTGTTTACCACAAGTCATCGCCAAACTTCGAAAATCTAACTCAAAGCGACGCATCATCTGCACCACGACAACGCAATCTCACAAGGCTCGTCAAACAATTAGTATTTGAAGCAGGAAAAGTAGAAATTCTTGACCATCCTCCATAAGTCCTGACCTAAGCCCTAACGATTTCTTTACATTTCCAAAATTAAGAAAAGTCTTCGTGGTCAAAGGTTCCAGTCCGGTGAAGAAGCAGTCGACGCTTTCAAGTCAGCCATTTTGAACACCTCCACTTTAGAGTGGAATAAATGTTATAATAACTGATTTGAGCGAATGGAAAAGTGTATTAACTACGTGGTGAATACTTTGAAAAACAATAAAAAGTATATAAGTTCTAGTTGTGCCTTTAATTCAGATACATTTAATTTAAACACGTTTCTATTTGAATCGTCTTTTAGGTATCTGTGTACCCTTTTTGGAGAAGACGAAGGCCTTCTCCAAATCCTTGCATTTCTCTCTGCACTGTGCCACTCTATAATGTACCACCAGCTGTTTCTTTAATTTGGTCTATCGACATTCTAAGTTGTGTCGTTCTCTTTAGTTCTCTTTGTTTCTTGGGCACCAGTTCAGTACTTTTTTCCTCCACTCTTCTGTTCTTCTTGCCATTTACGCCACCCAACTTCAAATCTCAAAGTAATAAAAGTTAATAAAATTATTCAGTATCAAATTAAAAACTATGCAATTGACAAAAGGGTTCAATTAAATAATAAATAGTAGGCCTATCAAATGGTTTACTTATATCCCTCCAGTTAGTCGATAAAACAATTATATATGAAAAACATACTGTAATGGGACGCGCGACAAATATTTGGGACGTGAAACGATGAAAAGGGTATCATTTTCTCGTACCATAAATAATTTAGAAAAACGAGGGGTCAATCTTTAATAAATATCGACAATCGAAATTTTATTGCGTCCATCCCGGTCCCAGCTGACCTATATCGTCTTTGTATCTTTGCCTGCCATAAGGGAGGGTCATCGCGAGATTTATATGTTCATCCCTTAGTGACAAAGCGCCAAAACTATGAAAAGCGACATTCAATCCGCGATATTCCTTTTATGTCCAATAAAATATACCATTAGTTATCTACTCATTCTACTTATTATACATCGGTTCATACACACAAATTATACGTGATGTATATAAATAGTATAGAAATAGATGTATTAATAATACGTTTACCCGAAGGAATTCATTAAATATCTAGTTTTAAGTCCGATACAGTTACACGTTGCGGGTAAAAAAAATCTTGTTTTAATATTCGTAAGGTAACATGTTGGGGCTCATGGCACTCAGATTGTTCTAAACGATTTAAGGAAAGACGTTGGTACAAACCAATTAAAAAATATCAGTGGCGATACAACCTTTTTAGGTCTGGGCCTGTGATTTCTGTGTCTGTTTCACGATAATTTGTAAATCTAAGAGGCAAGTAGGTGATCAGCCTCCAGTGACACACGCCGTCGACTTTATGGAACTAAGGCAAGCCGTTTTCCTCGCGATTTTTACCTTCACCGTTTGAGCGAATGTCAAAAGCGCACATAGAGAGAAAGTCCATTGGTGCACAGCCGGGGATCGAACCTACGCCCTGAGGGATGAGTCGCACGCGGAAGCCACTAGGCTAACACTGCAAACCAATTTATCTAATAATATATTATTTAGGTCCTTATCTTTGGTAATTGGCAGTAAATGAATTATTAGAAATAGGTTTAAAATAGAAATGTATGCGGTATTGTGCCAAACAAACCCTGTATAGAAAGTAAAAATATAAAGTTGTATTACCCACGTCACTGTCCGTATATTTTGTCTAAAAACGTCGAACGGGACAAACAAAATTGATATATTGACATAAAAGCATATTTATGTTCTGTTCGTATTGCTAAAAAATCTCAGTGATACGTCATAGCCGTCAGTCTCGCTTACTGCCTCCAGGGTATTGATAAAAAGTTTGTGACTTCGCATAAAGGGACTTACGAAAAAATAAGTGCACTGAATTAGAATAGTTTTTGTAGCAGATGCTGTGTTTTCCATAACAGGCGTATCGTCATTTGTTTTCTTTAAAAATACTCCCGTAGCAATGTCATATTTGGGTGGCAGTAACAAAGCAGTATACTAAATTGCAGCGTCAGGTTAGAGGTTAAGTGTACTCAACCCAAAGGTCGTGCGTTCGAACCCTAAAAAAATAGGATTTTATGTGCAATTAACGATACAAATCATCGTAAAGTGGTGTAGGGGGATATCATGAGGAAACAACTACGCTTCAAACCCAATAATGAACTATTTTTATCTTACATAGAAAGTCATATCAGGTTCAGGATGAGGTTAAACCTACTCAAGTTGGGGCCATGGCCCAATGTGAATGTGGCCCATGCCCCAATATCAGATTCAGTTTCATAACGTAATAGAGACTTGGTCAGCGCATATCGTATAGTAAAAATAGTAAAATAACAGCCTCTAAAACCATACAAATATATTAGTTCCAGCTATTCCCTATAATATTCTGAAGGACATAAAGATTAATATTATATGAAGGCAAGTTATTTCCCTAATGTATCCATTAAGTATAATATATCGATAATTATTTCCGCAACTAACAGTAAATATTCAGCGCACACGCTCACGTGGCTAACATTGACAGGGCATAGTTTATGACATGGAATAAAATGAAACAGTTTTATATTCTTATAAAATTAAAATCATTGCTATATTCTACTAAGGGTCTAAAATATAGGAACAGCGTGTATTGTAAGTTAGGCCTTTTTAGAAATTGCTATCGGAGGTTTCGCTTTAATGTCCATTACCTTAAGTCCCACTTAAGTTAATAAAACACAAGTTCAGCCAACAGATCTGCACCTTAACTAACAAGTAACTTAACAAGTTAGTTTATTGATACATATTTATTTGGTGTAGACGCAATAGACGTTTTTTATGTCAATTGCAGGCTGCTAAGTAGCGATCAAGTCACATTGAGCTTCTTCCGTGGACTCTTCCGTGGACTGGCACCGACCACAAAGCACCAACAAGGACTTTGTTTGAACAGCAAAAATAGAAGAATCACATACGAGGAAACATGATATAAAGAAACGATTTCTATTTTGTTTTAATTTTTAAGTATACTTAATATATTAATTATATATGTACTAAATTATGCATCAACAGTCGTAACCGCGATATTATCATCTATTGTTGTGGCTTTAACGACTAAATCTGTAGAATTTGACAAAGGTTCAGCTGTACTATTTTCACTTAAAACTTCACTTGAGACACTAGTTTTATTTTCCATGATATTGTCAGCAATCGTTTGATTTCCAGAAACAGATGTGTCATTTCCGCTTAAATGATCCAATTCAATATCATCTTCAAAATGCGTTTCCGGTTCTTTCTCTTTTTTCTGAGCCCATATCGGTAGTTTTGTCGTAGGCGCACCTAATTTCCATTTTTCCTGAATCCCCGATTTATCTGTGTACTTTGCTTTGTCTTTTTTAGCATAACATGTGCAATAACATTTCTTATCTGCATATGCAATGTCATATTTCAAATCTAGACATTTTTGTATGCATAGATAGGCCTTTTCGAAATTCAAACATTCGGATGTTCTGTGGAAGCCGTAACGAAGAATTGATTTTCTTCTAGTTCCTGAATAAAACGTAGAAATATTATAATTTATTCTGACTTTGATATTAAATTTAAAAAAATAACCATACCATTTTCAACTCGTTCAACAGTAACGAAATCATTTGGAGAAATAGCTGGAAACATAAAACTATGTTTTAAAATATTTTAAATAATAATAATATATCAACAAAAACTTTTTAAATTTAATTTTTTTATTGCTACGACAAAGATAAATCATTGTTTAGTAAAAATAAAGTGACCATATAAAGCAACCAAATAAAGCATTAGGTGGATCTATTATTGTTTTCAATATTTAATATAATTTAATAATACTTAAGTCATAATTGATAAAATAAATAAAAATTGGGGACCATACGAAAGTCAAAATATCATTTATTCATATAGACAACACTGTATACCCTTAAGAAAAAAACCTTACATAAAAACCTTCTAAATTTAAACTTACTGCCAGTTCTCAAATCAAGGGCGAGAAGAACTGGCAATAAACTGTCTGCCAATCTTTTGATTATCAAGTTTTTGTTTAGCAAGATGTTTATTTACTTTGGTGAAATAATTATATTAATATACTAAAATTAATCTACTCTTACCAATAACACTATCATTCACGCTATACGAAAAAGGCAGTAAAACAAAAACGCCTAAAAGATAATGCAACATTTCGCCAAATTATCGAAATATAAATTTGCAAACAACGATGGTAAGTTCATAAATGTACTTTTTAACAGTTTCAATAATCATAAAATTCATAAACATTACACCAATCTGTAATATAAAATTTTATTGCATGCTGCATATTATTAAGTATTGAACAGGTAATTGAACGTATGTATGAGCACTTAAAACCTGTCTGCTTAATGCTTGAGATATAAAAAATCAATAACACAAAGAGAATCATAATTTTATTGATTGTATGCACTTTATTCCTACATGACATTTACACGACACCTGAATATTTTTATCTCAAGAACTTCAAGAATTCAAGGAGGCAGAGTTAATTTGAAAAAAAATTTAGGACAGCATTTATATTTTTGTGAAATCATTAATATTTCACTCTGAGTACTTGCAGTAGATATTTATTTAATTAAAGAACACGTACGTTACGGGGCTGAACGCTTTAACTTTTCCCTATTTTTATCAAAAACATATTGAATTTGGCATACGAGAGCCATAGTTTGTGCTAAGTCTTGGCTCTGAATCTTACAAATAATAATTACATTCAGTCTTAACAATTTGTTATCCTGTGTAAACGAATTACTAAAATAATATATAAAATTGTATACAATAACTATTAAACAAACAGCATTTCTAATATTATAATTTAATAATTTATGCTTCTACAGTTGTTATATTCCCTGAAGTATTGTTACCACTTAAGTCATCATTAACAGTACTATTTTCGATTGAATCACTAATAGTGGTATGGTTAGTTTCACTTCTAGTGGTTGTTATATTCCCAACCGTGGTAGTATCTATTTCCCCAGATGACAAAAGCTCTGGTGGAAATAATGTACCAACAACTTGATATAGTTTCGGAGCATTCGTCTTCGGAACCTTTCTCGTGGTTCCATTTGTTCTCCACATAAAAAACGGTAGAAACGTAGAAGTCTTCATCTCATGACAACTGCACGAGCACTTATGGTTCAGACGAAATATTTGGTAACCGAGGCTCTTGCATGCCGTTAGACAGTTAAATATCTTCACGTAGTTTCCACATTTATTGTAAAAACTTAAACCATAATGTTTGCGAAGGTCATCCTCTGAAATACATTAATTATTGGATGAGAAAAAAAGAGCAAAATATGTATGAAAAATTCAATGAATAAAAAAACCTTCAAGAGACTCTATGCCTGCGTATAATGCAAGAAAGAACAATATTTTCATAATATTAGAGCATACAACACTGGTTAGCATTTATTATTTTACACTATGTCGTATAAGCTTGTAACATAACTACAAAATAATATATGCGTCCTAATGGAGTTTTTTATTGCCCTCTTAAATATCAATTTGAATCGCGGTATAATATTAATGAGCAATATTGCTGACATCACACCATATCTTGGCAATAAATTAAAACTATTTATGTCGTTCATGGCATGAATTTTAAAGAAAAGTTGATAAGAACTTTTCATAATAATTTGATAATTTCTATGCACGCTTGGGCAATATGTTATGCATAAATTCTTGTTTCGCTTTCTAAAAAGTTCTGTTTCGATCTGCAGCTATATAACGACTAATTAATAAATCAAGAATGTGATAATGGCTGCGCACATGGGACTCAAACTAAGATTCTCAGAATCGACCTCTCTATGGCCACCCAAATGATGATTTCATTATCTGTATGATTTTGATTGATGCATCAAAAGAAGTTTAGCAGTCGGATTCTTTCCATAACCGACATATTTGCTTTGTTTATTACTCGGAACTAATTGATCTGCGGCGCCATGGTTTTTGAGTGGTCAGATTCGATTAGGGAATTTAGTATGTATATGCAATTGCTATTCATATAAAATCTGATACAATTTTTTGTAGACATACTTTTGGAGACATTGTATGAACTGTTTATAGCCACCGTCATCGGTCAAGTAACACAAAAACAAACATTTAGAATTAGATTATACAAATAATGTTACACTAAGAGTTTAAAAATAGAAACGATAATAAATTGACTATTTCCCACTATAATAAAATGTAATAAATTGCAAGTAAAATGACGTAAAATCGAATCAATATTATTTTGGTGCGAAGCAAGCATGAAAAGTACGCAATAGTGGGCTGGTAATTCTATTTCCTTATATGTTTTTCTTAGACCAGAGAGTTTAAATTTTTCTGAAAGAACCAGTAATTCTTTTTTATAGGTACATAAACCGTAAACTTTGGTTGTTTATCTGTGAAATAGCAATAAAGAAGGTTACAGGGGGAAAACGAAATGTCCAGAAATAAAGTGACAGGTCCCCAGTTTACGCCAACTAAGGTACAAATTGCGATATTAAGCACAGAGCGTGATGAAAAAACACAAACTGAATATAAATTAGGCTGGAGCAGCGCTATAATCAATATAAACGATGCTAAAGAAGATTAGAAAAATCCCGTAAGGAAACAAATTTCACGACACCGAGAGATTTACTGGTATTTTTAATGTCTATTAAACACCCTTTATTTATTGTGTTCGAACTATTGTATGGAACAATAAAATTGATTTTCAACTTACTTAAGACAAACATATTATTAAATATATAACTCTGCCACCCACTTACGATACCTCTAGAGATTATTATATAAATAACTATCTACTAGTATTTTATCTCTCTAACAAGGTTAACGCGAACTTTCCAGGTTCAAATCCTGATTAATAGATATGGACTACTGCATCTACTTTACATAATACAACAATAAGCAACATAGTGCAGATACTGAATTTTGATCTAATACCTCAATTATACAAAACACAATGGAAAATAATAAACCTTACATCATAATTACATGACTTTTTCATTTATATTTTTTAATAAACTATAAAATTGTCTAAATTGCGTTCCAACTAATCTACATTATCAATTTAATAATTATTATTCTTAATCGAAAGAGACATGGTCATGAAATTCACGTACATTTTATTAAAATAATAATAAAGTAATTATACTGACTAAAAGACATTTATCTTTTAAGAATTTAGCAATAAATTCATTGAAATACAGATTATTTGATTGATTGATTGTACTTTCTGATACCTCCTCTTGTATACAGGATATCAGATGAATCCTATCCTGGGTAACCAATGAGTAGATGAAAAGATGACTTAACAAATCCAGGACAGAAGAAAAATCAAACCTTATAAAATACAGTGAGAAAACCTAGAGACATTAAAAAAGTAGATTACATTCTTAATATAAACCAAGATACGTGTACATTTTTCACTCTATAAATTCCATCACTTTTTAAGGTCGAGACAATTTAAAAAATACCAACGGCGCTACAACATTTTAGGTCTGGGCCTCAGATTTGTGTATTTGTTTTCTCTAATAGGCAAGTAGGTGGTCAGCATTTCATGCCTGACTCTCGCCGTCTACTTTTTGGGCAGGCCGGTTTCCTCACGAGGTTAATCAGCACCGTACGAGTGAGTGTTTAATGCGCACATAGAAAATCCATTGGTGCATTGTTATCCAATGGTGTAATTTCAACATAGGCTTTTGTAGAGGACACTGTACGCTTCAAATATTGGAAGCTTATTTTATTCATTTTAATTCACACACACACACACACACACACACACACACACACACACACACACACACACACAACACACACCAAATTTATTTTTACGACTCCGTTTGCAATTTTTTCTTTTAGCACTTACTCATTTTCTTCTATTGTATCTTATGACAATGACCTGATTGTACGTGTTCCGGCCCGGTGGTGGAGAGGCTGGCAATCTGTCTCTCAGGTCTCCTGTTACAGAGACCAGTCTCTCACATAGACTTCCTAATTTTATCATCTTAGTTTAATCATAATAACCTTGTATGTATATGTGAGAGAAGAAATAAAGATTATTATTATTGATTTTGTTTCGTTTTCCAAATACGAGATGAAACCTTTTTTAGAACTATTTTAAATTTGAATAATGCTCACAAGTAATTAATAATAATAATATAGCCTTTTTATTTCCATATCCTTAATTTCCATTTCAAATGTTGTTAGTATTTACTTATAGCTAATTGTTAATAGTTAAATGTTAGTTGTTTGTGGATAAAGACCCCTCTTGGGTCAAGGCCTCCTCCAACCCTTTCCAGATTTCTCGGATCTTTTCCGAATGTCAGCCACTCTTTGGCTTGCCCACTCTTCTTTTTCCAGGTGGTACCTTCCATTGTGTTCTCTTTAATGTGCATCTGATGTCTAGATATCGTGTTTCATGACCGGGCCATTGCCATATTAATTCCAAGCTTGTAACCGTGCATCGATTGCTTTCATTTTTTGTCTAAGATATTCACTTTTGATATTGTGTATCTTCTAAGTATACTTCTTTCCATGTGTTGATCTAATATTTAGCTTAATCATTACCAGAAATAAATAATTATTGATTTCTTACACTCGACTTTACAAATATTTACGTTGTATCAAGCTAATCAATCTCTGCCCTCGGACGTCCGCGAAGGGATGGAATCGTATGCCTTGTAATAAAATCTAATCATAGTTACTGACTACAATTACAAATGCTTCTGATTAATGACTTTCGAAATGAGTTGAAACAACAGATATAACGCTTTTTATGTTTGTTATGTTTACATAAAGATTCTTTGTGCGGGATGTTTTATGGTTTTCTGTTCAACCGATTTGTATATGCATGAAAATAGATTACAGTTTTTCCAGTTATTGGTTGTTATAAATCATTGCACATCCGTCGATCATTAATAAGATCGGCCTTAAGACCTAGACGTTATCTATATAGTCATAAAACCGGCCTATAGTTTTTAGTCATAAACATATTTACATTTCTCGTTCGGGTTTATATGAGAATCTAAGTACTCTTCGCTGATAACATTTGATATGTTCTAAAATAAACATGGCTTTAATCGAAACAAAGAGGGGGGTTATTATGCGTAGTTGGCCCCAATTCCCCACTCAAGCATGCTATTTTGGAATGTTTGCAATTTGTTTTAAAAAAAAAAAAAAAACTTCCGAATTTTTCAGATGAGTGGACATTGAAAGTAAACCGAATAGTTGTTATCTGCGTTGCACGCTGTGGATTGCCGAGTACCATTTTCAAGTTAAAATTTGAGTATAAGCTTAGGTTTGTGTACGGTACTATTATAGGTACCTTGAATCTCCAGTGTTGAGGGGGGACAAGAAATCATGGGGCCAGAGAATCAAAGCTATCAAGGCGCGGATAGTAAGAAATCCTGGTCCGAAAACAGAATTGATGGATTTGCAGATGGGTGTCAGTAGGAAAACAGTAAAAAGGTTTTAAATGAAGATCTTGGTCTACGAGCATACAAAAAGAGGGGGGCACTTACTAATGCTCGTCTAAAGCAATAAGGCTAGAGATCGTGGGTGTTGTTTAAGCGGTACGCGAAAAACCGACACCGTGATATCCTCTTTACGGACGAAAAATTTTTCGATATTGAAAGAAGTACAATAAAAGAATTATAAGTGTAGCTAGGAGTTTTGAAGAAGCTGAAAATAAAGTTCAAGGTGCAAATGGACATCATCCATCATGTAATGGTTTGGTGGATTATAGGTAATATAATTTTTTCGAAAAGGGGTCAAAAAGTGTACAGTGTACAAGAAGGTTTTGTATCGCCTTGTACCTATTTGCGGGACATCACTTCGTTTCAAGGACTTGCGTCTGCATACAAAGCCAAGACATAAGCTGTTTGAGGTCAAAACATCTCTTAATTAGAATAGGATTTTTGACTTAACTAAAAATTATACAGGGCTTAGAGAGGAAGGTCTGTGATAAACTCATGAAAATTTGAAATTAATCATCTTTAAAAACAATAAATCACACAAATTAAAGAGTTAAGGGCTATAAAAATAGGGAGGTATTTCGAAATTATCTTTTTTATTCCTTAATTAATGAAAAAATAAAAAAAAAAACAAAAAAAAAAATTTTATTTTTTTTTTTTTTTTTTTTTTTTTCCATTTATGACAGAACTTTGGGACCGACTACGTATATGACTCATTAAGACTTATTATTTATGTTCTGTTACACCTAAAAAAATAAATACATAGAAATATTTATCTACCTATAGTTAATCTTTTTCTACCGACTACCGACAACACAAAAAAAACAAGAATAAAAGAATACAAAAATACAACAACATTGAATAATAAATATCTATCTATGTAACGGCGGGGGGGCCGGTGGGCCGGCGCGTTGCCGC